CCTCTTAGTGTATGATGTTGTGTTCACTGACTAGAATGCAGGACCAACCGTTTCAAACGCAATAGCTTTATCCACTTACTGGGAGGGAGATATACCCAGCTAACGAGTCTCAAATAGAGGGAAATGCGCGTGCCAAGTTCCACTGCTAGTCATTATGCATCATTAACATAAGAACTAGAAAATACAGGGCATAACAAGGCATCTGCACAGGAACTCATATAGCAATGGTGGCCAATCCGTTTGGTACAAACAAGGCAGAAGATTAACATACCATTACATTAAAGACCTGCAGGCCTGCCTATAAACTCCCTTATGCACATTTATGATGTACTAAAACAGTAGTTTTACTGTATAATCGACGAATGTTTTGTATCCCGTGCGGTGGTCTTACAATATTTGACCTCGTGGGTTATACTTCTATCTATCATAGACTGTAATCAGTCATTTCGAAGCCGAAAGTTTGTCTATAGTTATGTTGTTCTCTCTCATCTGTTTAAAGTCAATATCGTTTTATCTTCTAAATCACTGACTAGTCAAATTTCATTAGCATTTCCCTTCGATTTAACATGTAGACTATGGCTATACACGCGAACGACTCTGCGTTATATGAAACAGTAAGGAAAAAAAATAGAGATGAACACTGTTTTCATCAGTTGTAATGTTTTCATCATGCATACTTGAAAAAAATTGTTAAATTCTTTATTTAACTTGACGAGTATTCACTGCCACATAATAGCATTGATAAACTTCATTTTGCCAAGCGATTATTTCAACAACTCATCAAAGAGCTTAGGAACGAGTTCATTGACCTTGACCTACATGAAAGAAAGGAAACTTACCAGAAAGTACTTTACATTTTAACGGACTTCATAAAGGACAGTAATTACCATTTATTGATATACTTGTAATTCTTCGCTGTTTTATAGAATAGATTTGTTCGACCCCTATTGACACACGGGCTCCTATGGGGATGCCTTAATATTGATTGAATGTTAATTATGGTATTGGAGTTGGTTGTGACTAGCAGAGGAACCCAGGACACGCATTTCGTCCTATTTGTGGTTGTCGTGCCTCCGTGGCATAATGGGAAGCGTCTTGGCTTTGGAAGCGAGGAGTATGAAGTTTGAGTGTCAGTAGGAACAACATCACTCCACGATGGCGCGCAGGTACGTCCAGTTGACCAGTGAGTCCCAAAGAGGACGAGACGCGCGTCATCGATCCCTTTGCCAGCCACAATCAAACAAATTACCACAAGAACGATAATGTTTAAATAAATTTAAAATTGTTCATGAATGTGGTGATGGAATCGGCAGCTGTGAATAAAAAATCTCAGCATAATAGCAGCATTTGAAACGGATTCGTCTGAATTATCTACATCGTGGCGTATCAGTAGAGGCATATGATAGTGGTCTCCTTCACTTGTAGAGTTTCTCTTCAGGTACTTGGACACTTTGTCATTTCAGTGAAGACAAAAATCCCTCAGTGGTTGAAATTAACACGGATACATGACTGAAGAAACTAAAAGGGATCTGCCTGATTCTTGACCTACCAAAAAAACTCTGCATCCATTGTTTTCCATCAAAAATTCTCCACTTTCAGGTTGCTTCAATCTATCAAATGTCGTTTCACACGTTTTTAAAAGGTTTTCTAAATCGCATTTCTCAAACTATAAACAAAACAACAAAGGAAAAACATTCCATCGGTTGTAAATGGATTTGTTAATGCTCAATAATATATCACATTACCAATACCTACCTGTATGGGATTATGCATCTCCATGCTGGCTGGCTGACTGACTTGACTACTGAACTGCCACCATCAAAATTACACTCGATTTTGTGTTAATTATTACCAAATCCAGAACAGATACTAATATTACACTAACTGCCCACTTCAAACTTATCCCTTCAATACTGTTATGATTAACACTAGGCAAACTTACAGAAAGTGGATTTGTTGAAATATTCCATACTGTATCATACATGCTGCTTGGAATATCATGATGAATATTATCATTATTATTGTTGTTGTTATTACTAACCTTAATTTGTATATCAGAATCATTTCCTACATATACAACTTGTAAAAACAAGGTTCAAAGTTTGTACAGAGAATGGTAAGAGATGTAAGAGGAGGGACAATGAATGCTGGCCAACAGATAAATAAGGTGAACTCCAACATAGTGACATGCTCACGATTGAGATCTACTCAGTGAGTTGAAATCACTAACTGAGTACAATAGTGAGATTTGGTTCAAAGTGTTTTATAGCAATCACTGCGGTAAGGCCAAGCATTTTCTACACATTGATTACTTTAAAAATCCTAGAAGTATCACCTTCATATCCTGTGTCTACAAAGTGTCTACCAACTCCACTGACCAAGAATCTTACTTCCTTTCAGTCACACATTCTTCGCAATATGCTCACCAAACGGAATACATGCTCTCCTATCAGTCCATTCAGTCTGCTTGCCACTGCAAGTGTATGTGAATGGTTCAGTCCGAATGTAGTATCATATACTAAGGCAACTTTGCTCGTAGAACCGATTCTTCAAAGTGTTTCTTTGGTCCCCTTGTCTATTCATCACTCAGATATTGAATCTGTTTTGATTGGAACATGAATAAAAACCTTTTTCTTTCCAATGGTTGGGTGTCTAGTTATTTCAGCCCGTTCTTTTTCATACTTCATAGTACTGATGGCACGCAACCTACATAAACCTTGAGCTACCAAATTTATCCATCGAACATTTTCATCAAATTCTTTCTTTATAATTTGTTTTAATCATTCAAATGTATCCTTTGGACGTAACATGTACTCTTGCACATTTTTAAAGTGTATTATCAATTCTCCGTTTCTTAAGATAATAAGAAATCAGAGAGGGAATGTTACTCTATATGGAAGTGGACTTTTAGTGCACAAAATTTGAGATGCATATTTTTGTGCCGGCTGAATGAATCACTACCATCAAACTTGTGCTTGTGTTTACTCTGATTCATCATTTCAAACCGGACCCTAATGCAAGACCACTTCAGGTGAACGTAGAGAAGACAGAGTTGGTGAACATACCCAACCACCGACAACAATAACAAGCACCAATCAACATCAACGAGAGAAATCTAAAGGTATTAGTTTCAATCCACCTACCCACCTACCTAGGAGGTAGCATCGTTTCAACTACAGGCGGCACAGACACAGATGAGGAAGTCAGAGCCAGCCGTGATCGGGAAGACACCAAGACAGGCCTTCCTACATTAATCTGAAGTCGGTGTGGAGATCAACTGCACTGCACTGCACTGCACTCAGCATAAAGCGTGAACAACATGTGGATTTCCAACACTTTAATATCACTACTGTTCATTTGGTAACTCTGGCGCGAGCATGCAGTGCCACGAAGAAACCGTTCATTTAAATCCTATAAACTCTCCATGTTTTCTACTTTTCACAGTGAAATTTCACAATTGTACACGAAGAGAGACCAGACTGCTGCACTAGTATATCATCACCTATTATCTCATTGAATGCAGAATTCTTCCTGTCTATTATGCATCTCAACACAGTATAACATCTTCCCTAATAAATGCATTCTATCTGGATGGTAACTCCGGTTGTCTTCCAAACCGTCTTCGCTTGACAGGGACTCCTTCATAAGTTTCCACAGCTAATCAGAGGAATGGTATACCTATTAGGTTGTTCTTTAATCAGACTTAAATGCACAGAGTGAGGTGTTGTTGTCAAATATAACATAAATCTCAGCGTATTTGAAATGAAATGACTTAAAACCTTCGCACAGAAGTCCGACATAAGGTTTTTCAGCAGTTGCTTCCATCTTTTATTCCAAACAGGCTGAGATTTATACAAATATAACTTATAAGAAAGAAAATCATTTGAAATGCACACAGAAAAATATTGTCAGATGAAAGTGCTATTAAACAACAGTTTTTCAAATGCTGTTTGAACTACTTATGAGTAGGAAAATGGCCTCTAAAACATAATTTTCGGATTTTAACAGTTATTGGGTCAAGTCATAAATCCATTTCTGAAGTCAATGCACTGAGTTCATGCACACACTTATCAGATGGTCGAACCAATATTACATGAACTAAGCGAGTGAAAATATACACTGGGTACCTTGCAATAAATGAGGGGAAAGAACTAACTGTGAAAATCTTACATGAAATTACTTTAATCACCTAAGAACTGTGATTACATAAGGCAATGATTGGCATTAACGTAGAGATTTTTAATAAGTAGCTTATACTTCACAAAAATGAGCACTACAGATTAGCGCTATACCATCTTTGGATCAAAGTAAATCACTGTAGACCAAATTCCTACTCCAGGTATTGCCAAAAATAAGTTGTTAACGGTCAGAAACCAAGTTTCTCCTGCTTCTCTAGTCTTACTAGTAAGAATTTAAAATAACCACCTCCCAAGGTTGTCCAAATAGGCTAACTGACCAGTTAGTACTTAGCCGGGTGTCACTGGATTTGGATGTGAACAAGAAAATCACTTGAGCACTTCGAGTTTTACAATTTCATGTTTGCGATTGACTGTGAAATTGGAATAAGTTGTTTCAGTGACTGTCTAAAAGCCTTTCAGTTTGTGATGACAATACATCAGTTAGGTGTGACCATGATGGCTCTCTGAACCTAATTGTTCCTGCTGCAATAGTAATGTTTTCTGCTTCAGAAGCTTTATGTAGCCTTGATAGGGCTAACAAACAGTGATTCTAGCTAATTAGACTACTTTCTAACTGCTCACCTTAATCAGTAGTATGTAACCTAGAACCAGTCCTTCTTCTAGCTTATTCAAAGCATCTGATAGCAAAACAAATCGGCAAACTATAGGCCCAAGACCACTAGCTCACATTCGCTTCACTTTCATCAAACATTTTAGAGGTTTTCAGTATATCTGTACATCTTTACAAATTAATTTCGAAGATTAGAAATACTAAGAAATACCTTTGCAATTAGTAGAAAGGAATTTTTTGGAAAAATCGATTTATTTGTTATAATAACAATGAACATTGATACCGTTGAACAAGTAGATAAGAAAATCATTTTCATCATTATCATTGTGTGGATGTGGATCTTTGAAGTATACACTTTTCCAGTAGGAAAACGCCAAGAATGATGAATATAATTTCTAATGGTATTAAAAAGCTTAAAAGCCATACCATACCATGTACAAGATAATAATTGTCATGTTCAGTATGTGCATACTTTATTGAAGTGTCAGTTTTTTTGGTTACAGATAACTTAGTACATGGTAATGATGTACAGTGTTGACTTTCTTTACCTGAACCATGACAACCAATATCACTGTCACATGAACGTAGACGATAACGATAACGTATTTGTCCACATGTAGGCGCACAATTACTCCATGAATTCCATTCTGTAAAGAAGGGAAAAGGTGTGCTAGTTGATTGAAGGTAATTAGTAGAAAGCTCTGCTTCAAGTAGGTTTCCTGTTTGTTGGTGTTTTACAGTAAAGCGAGTCTGAAATGCACGAATGAACTGATGTCTGTTTTTAACCATAGGAGCTATCATTGTCATTCTAAGCAACATCATCAACACAAACTTCAGAATGAAGTAACCAGTGAAGTGCCATGATTTACATTGCGCATCGTTACAGAACAGAGTATAGGATGGCAATCAACTCAACTCAACCTCAACTTTGAAATGTCCTTCGATAGCGTCGACCGGGGAGTATTTTGGCAACTCCTTCATCACCACGGCTTTAGTGCCACAAACATTTACCAACCTCATTCAACAGCAGCTATAAGTTATATGATGCTTCATACTAAGTGATTCATAGTAGAGAGCTCAGTGATGCCTTTGAAGAGAAGACAAGAGTAAGACAAGTCTGCTTACTATCACCCATGATCTTCCTGATTGTGGTAGACTGGATCATGAAGCAAACCGTGAGGAGCGAGAAGATGGGGGATACGCTGGACCGATGAAATACCCTAGAAGGTTTGAATTTCGCTGATGATTCATGTCTTATGTCGCACAAATCCGAAGATGTACAGGCGAAAACAAACAAGTTGACAGAAGAGGTAGGCAGCGAAAACGGTACTTCAGGTGAATGCAGAGAAGACAGGGATGATGAAGAAACCCAACCACCGACAACAATAACAAGCACCAATCAACATCAACGAGAGAAATCTAAAGGTATTAGTTTCAATCCACCTACCCACCTACCTAGGAGGTAGCATCGTTTCAACTACAGGCGGCACAGACACAGATGAGGAAGTCAGAGCCAGCCGTGATCGGGAAGACACCAAGACAGGCCTTCCTACATTAATCTGAAGTCGGTGTGGAGATCAACTGCACTGCACTGCACTGCACTCAGCATAAAGCGTGAACGAGATCCGGATTTTCAACACCAATGTCAAGTCAGTGCTTCTGCATAGTTTAGAAACTTCACGCCTCACGAAAAGCCTTTCCAACAAACAATAGACATTCATTAACAGCTGCCTTTACTGATTCGATACTGAAGATCAGATGGCCAGAAGGAATAAGCAACAAGGAACTCTGGCTGCCAACGAACCAACGAAGCAAGAACCTATCACCCGACAAATATGCAGAAGGAAGTGGAGATGGATTGGGCAAACACTGAGAACGCCGATTGGGGACATCACACGCCAGGTCAGGCCCTCGAGTGGAATCCAAACGAGAAACGACGAGTTAGGCGTCCGAGGTGAACGTGACATGAAGGAGATGGTGTGAGGAAGAAATGAAAGCTTGTGGGCAGTCGTGGAGCCAGGTTTGGAGGACTGCAGAGAACAGGGTGAGATGGAGAAGTGCTACTGACACCCTACGTTCCACTGGAAACCCAAGGGACGAATAATAATAATAAACCACAGCTATTTCAGATAGTCAGAACAATAATTATCTATCTTCGATTTTACTAATACACAGAGACATTTATGGATATGAATTTCACTTGGAAGACGGCTAGACCTTGAAGAAAGGAAATCAGATGAATGCCAAAGAATTTTTACGAGAGTAATACTCAGGTGAGTTAAAGATCAAGAGACGTTGACATCGATACAATCAGTCAAGCAACAAAAAACACAAGGAACAACAAAAAGGCCAATGTTCACGTCATGAGGATAGCTAGTGAGAAATATGTATGGAGATAGTGACAGGCTAATAGCAGAAACAATGTCACCCTAAAAGCCATCATGACAGGCTACTAAGACATTCGCAGTGAAAACCTCCCATCTCACTTCTTTCTGAAGTTTCACCTGATGATTTTCTTCGAGAATGACAATTAATCCTTCATAAAGTAGAAGTTCTCTGTAACCCTTCGAAACATTGCATTTCACTTTGTAGACTACTAGTAAACGAATCTTCAGGAACTGTTAACTAAATGTCGTAATATTGAGCTATTGATTCACTTGTATAGATCTTTGCTGAGCCATGCTGGCAGAGGTTGGTGTCAACGTAGAACAATCTAATTCTCCATATGGCGTATGTACTTAACTGTAGCTGAGTTGATATTTACACACTGAAGTGGCTGGTAGTGACAATTTACTATTGAACAACTAGTAAGAGTAATTTGTAAAGTGGTTGTATAATATGAAAGTCATTTTACAACTTCATCTGCTGCTTCTACATTGAATTTCAAGCTCAAACATAACTTCTCTGCCTTTTGTATTTTTAGGTCTCTTTGGATATCCATTTTGTAATCAGTGTCAATGTTAGAATTTTGCCTTCCGAAGGGTTAGAAGTATCATTAACTGTTTAAATGCGATTTTACATCATCAGAGAATGGATACATTTGTAGAAAAGTTTGTTATCTGAATTCCTTCTTCTTTTATGATATAATTAGAGAATTAAATTCATCAAAAAGAAGGATTTGATATAATGTTATCATTTGATGTAAAATCTGTGGAATATCTATTTCAATGAAGAGAGTAAATGTATATACTGATGATGATAAGGTGTGGGTACATTTGTGTCATTCCTAGTTGTCAACGATGGTGATTATAAACTTTCAGTGAGTACTTATATCAAAATGGATTAACTGATGGTCAAAAAAAGGCATTTTATTTGTCTTTATTGACACTTGTATTATTTGAATAGTGTAATAAGAAGATGGAGGTTATCTGAGAAATGTACCATGTATTCATGCAATACATTTTGAACAATCTGATCACATACACATTTACTTATCAAGGCATCCTGACTTCTCTGAATTTCAATGCATTGATAATACTACGGAATAGAAATGATATATAATCATTCTTAAATCTGACAAGGGATCTCTGGTGTAGTTGTTTTGAATATGCTGGATTATGAAGACAAAATCATATCCATTCTCACTGACAAAAACAGAAGGACTGTCCGACAGAAGATATCAGAAAATTAGAAGGAGAAGTAACTGTAAGTTAAGTAAAACTACTTAACATGAATGTCATTAACAAAGAAGGTGTGAGCATCCAAACTTGTATAGTCCACCCAAGATACACAAAGCGAATATCCCATTATGTTTATGAGCCACACCAATTCCAAGTGGTCTCAGTAATTTTGTCGTGATTTCTAACATATTTTTATGTATGGTAGGATGATGCACTCATTGATTTCTGTCTTTGACCTTGTAGTTGATGATGTACGGGATAGGCGTCTTCCGATAAATTTTCATGGGTAGCCGTTCTTTTTTGGGATAGACATCAAGTAATTTTCTTTGTTTCTCCGTGAAGTTGTTGTACTATAGTATGTTCTCACTCTTCTGAAGAGAGTCTGCACGCAACTGGTCTTCTGTGTTGTTGGGTAGTTGCTACCGTAGTTGACGACTTGGTCAGTGTGTGTTGGCTTCCCGTACACTTAGGTTTCCAGCTTTCAGGCATTTATTCCCTTCAAACACTATTATGCAGGCCAAAGGATGCAACACTTAAAGAAGACGAAGCGAACATCATCTAGAAATCAACTGCAATAACTGTAGTCAACACTACATCGGACAAAGTGGTCGCCCTCTTCACGTATGTCTACATGAACACCAATTGGCTATTAAATGTCACGACATTTCTCTACGATTAAACAACCCAGCTCAGAGAACACAATGCAACTAACATGTGCATAAATAGACGATGATGAATGCCTGCATTAAGTCAGATTATTATGATACCAGTTTATGAAACTTTTCCAATAGATAAAGAGCTACACCTAATGTGTAAAGCTTAGTGATATTACCTAGCTGTCTAGATCTCAGTTGGTGGTCAGAGTTTTGGAGTCACAGATCACTGGATACAATTTAAGTGCCTAGAATATACTTCTCTTTCTGATAAACACAAACAGTCGTGAGGTTCAAGTGCAATAGGACTTCCGGTCAACTGAATTGCAACATCAAACAGAATTAATTCACTGTCTTGGAAATCGCTTCAAAATCTATGGGAAACCAGAACTCAAGCAGACGGAAAATTTGATCGGCGACTTTACACATTTACACATCAGGGGAAGTTAACCGAAACCAAATGTTATAAAAATAAATAAATAAATGATATCAGGTAAGAGGGGAATGCTATGACCTGTAATGTGACTGACGCTATCTGCAAGCAATACGAACCTAAGGCGCAACGAATCCAACCTAACAGCTAATTAGAAAGTCAACCAACACCACAACAACAAAACCACGGACACTCAAAGACAAGAACAGAAGACGGACGGTTACCAGAACGCTTTTAATGTCTCAACAACAGTCAAAAACAACTGAGAGCGTTACTGAATATGTAGATCTGAAATGACCTTGACAAACACTAAATTTACTGGCAAGTTAAAAGAGTTAACAGTCAACGTAAGTTCAACCTTCAAAAGAAGTGGGAAAAACAAAAGCCAGCAACGGCACCAAGGTGGCGTGAAAGCAGCAACAATAAAGCTATTTTAAGGTTATAGGTGAATATCGGGCAAAAGTTAGGCAAATTAGGGGTATATAACACCTCCCACTGAAAAAATAAATGAGCGCCTACAACAACAAAATTTAGTACCTCCATCCCTTCTGATCGATTTGGAAAAACACCGTTCGAGATGTGCAGTCGGATCGTCGTCTAGATAAAAACTCCTCTTTGACCTCAGGCTTCACTCGGTCTGATTCAGCATCGACTGGAGGTGCTCTAAGAGTTTCAAATAGCCGTTCTAAGGGTGACTCAGGTTCTGAGGACGTGGCATCTGATTTCTTTGTCTCATCTATCTTTCCTTCCACACTTTAACTTCATACATCAAAGTTCTACGCTGATCTATCAGACCTTTTCCTCCTAATTTCTTTTTCCTGGTCGATAATTTTGAGAGTAAACCGGGTCCCCCTTGTGGAAATATCCCAGAGTACTTTTTCCGTTGAACTAATGACGATGGAACATGGAGTGGTGGTGGTGAGTACGTAGCGTTGGTCCAACTGAAAGCTCAGCTGGGCTTCATCAGTTCAAATTACCACATCACACAACAGCATGTAAAGTAGAAGCTAATGGAAATTGAATATAATAGAAGTAAAAATGATATCAGGGAAGAGAGGAAGATTGAATAAACGTCAACAAAAATTTAAAGATTTCGAGAACAACTAAGTGGATAGGTCCATGTCACAATGATGAACTTCGAACCATACCATCCAATATTTTTACTTACTGGTTCCTGACATACCGGATACCTGATTCAGATAAGCTGCATCTCCCCATATATCTCTAAAGAATAGACAGAAACTTCACAGATTAATAATGTTTCTTGATTCAGTCAACCCTGACTTTCTCCCAACTAATCCTATTTGGGTTACTATGAGAATTATTCATAATTTTTATTCCATCCGGCGTATCATAATCCTATAGTACCTTTGAAACTTCTCAGGTTTAAACCAATAACCTCCTAAACATCACGTAAGTGAGTCATTCTATGTCATAATTTCTCAGTGATGCCGCTGAAGTAAAGTGAAGACAAGTTGACAGGTTAGACAAGGTTGCCTACTATCACCAATGATCTTCCTCGTTGTGCTCAACTTGACTGAAATGGGTCATGCAAGAATCCAGTGTGAGGGGCAAGAAGATGGACATACGCTGTTTGACGGGGGAAGAGACCCCCAAAAGAAGATTCGAATCTCGCCGATGACTCATGTCTAGTTTCTTATGCCAAATAAACTCGAAGATGTACAGTGAAAAGCAATAGGTTGGCAGATGGGGCAGGGCAGAGAGGACGGGACTTCCTTCACGTGAACGTAGAGAAGACAGAGGTGATGAAGATACCCAATCATCATTATCATCATCAACAACAACAAAAACAAGCACCAATCAACATCAACAGAAGAAATCTGAAGAAGGTTGTCTCTTTCACATACCCACCTACCTAGGAGGCAGCATCGTTTCAACTACAGGTGGCACAGACACAGATGACGATGTCAGTGCCAGCTACGATCGGAAAGACAGCAAAACATTAATCTGGAATCAGTATGGAGACCAACTGCACTGCGCTGCACTCAGCATAAAGCGTGAACGAGATCCGGATTTTCAACGCCACTAATGTCAGCCAAGTAAGTCAGTACTTCTATGTGATGGTTGATAGACTTGACGCATTACGAAAAGCATTTCCAAAAACTGCACACATACATGAACAGATGCCACCTACGCCTACACCCGCTCGATACTGAAGATGGAGATCAGATGGCGAGAATAATAAGAATAAGTAACATGGAAGTCTGGTCTGACAACGAACCAACCAACCAACCACGAACCTATCACGCAACGCATATGCAGAAGATGAAAGTGGAGATGGATTGGATTGGATTGTAGGTACACTGAGAAGACGGTTTGGGGACATCATATGTCAGGCGAGACCATCGAGTGGAAGCTGCATGGGAAACGACGAGTTGAGCGTTCGGAGTAAGGGTGACATGGAGGAGATTGTGTGAGGAAGAAATGGAAGGTGATGGACAGTGGTGGAGCCCGTGTAGGAGGGCTGTAGAGAAGACAGGGAAATGGTGACAAGCTACTGACGCCTTATGTTCCACTAGGAACCTAAGGGACAAATAATGATAGTATGATAACTTCATGTTAAGAATTCTTCTCTCATGTTTAGTAGTTGTCAACACTTACAAGCCAGTCGTTTATGCTACCTTCCTACAGACTTGGAGATGGCATACTGTTCAGCTATGGGGACGTCAACTGAATTCTGACATACAAGTATTTTTTAATGAGATCACTTAAGGATGATTACTACTATGACATCAAGGATAACGTTTTAGGTCAACCAATGATTCCTGAATCCTTTCAAGCATCTAACACTGAACATTGTGCAGAACTACTGAAAGGAATCTGTGGCAATCCTTGTTTGATATAGTTTTCATAATTTCAAATATATTATTTATGAAAGTTTATCTAAACCCTCGAGGAAAATGATACCCCTTCATCAGATGGAATATCTATCAACACTTAGAATGAGACCCAGATTGCGCACTACTTTCACCGATTCTATCCTCGTGCAGAGCTCTAGAGCCACCTAACTACAGTTTTGACCAAATAGGTTTGTGCTCACTGCAGAAAGCCAGTTAACGAAATCCTTTCAGGAACACTGTGTAAAAGACAGTCTGATTCCGAAATCTGTTCATTGACCTGTACAGAAGCTACATTAATGCACCATCTCATTTTGGATGGCTCACGTAAAAGTATTTGCGGGAGAGACAAGATCACAGTTGGCCTTATTAGTTTCATTACTGTTCATCGGAAACTACGAGCATTTTGCCCAAACATATAGAAAGTTGAAAATTAGAATGAATCCGCTTTCTCCTGCTGACTATCAAGTCTATTGTGTAGCAGTTTACTGTGTTCTACTTCGTAGCTGTAAAACATAGTCACTGAAGTTGACTTCAGGTATTCAACCGCTGTTTTCCTCCTGGTAATGATCATCTTTCATACAGACACAGAATTCAGGTGCAGAGTCTTAAGTAAACGAGGTAAGTCAGTTAATGAAGCTGTGAGCTCTCATCAACTCAGGTGACTGGGACATGCACTACTCATGCCTAGTGACGGTTCCCTCAGTTGTGTAATGTAAGCCGAATAAGGTGAAGACTTGAGGAGGGTTAGAAGTAGCCAGAATAAAACACGGGATAATTCTATGAAGTCCGTCTCTGCCTGTTGGCCTGTGTCATGAACGACAGTACAGACTTCCTTATTGGGATCTCCGCGACAACAGAAATCAGTGGGTAGATACACTTAAGGAAATGGCTGATGACGAATATCAGTGGTGCAGAGGTATCCGCATGCTATTTCCGTCCAAATATTCATACCCCGTTTCGCTGTTCTTTTTGCGTTCTCTTCCTCCCTTCGTATGGTTTTCTACAGTTTCCGACTACACCTTTTTCCATGTTTCAGTATCTTTCATCCTGTTGCCCGGTATCTTATGGCAATACAGAGTAATTCCAAGTCCTATGTTCTTATTGTTTGACTGATTGCAGGTAAAAAAGTAAAGCCATTGTAAATGACGACTTACCGCCCCATATACCTTCTATCACATCACAATACAAACCGGTATAACCTGATGGACATTGGCACATTGGCACTTGATTCAATAGATTATCAGCTGAGTTACTTTCAGGAGAATTAATATATGTTACTAGTCCTTTGGTTACATTTACACATCGGCCACCATTTAAACATACTGCAGTACCACATTTACCAGCAATAACACCACCACCAACTTCAGCAATACGCTCTTCGTAAATCTGTTTCCAACAATTATCTGTATAACTGTAGTCAGGATCCTTTGTATAACCTGATTTACAGTTACAATAATAACCAGTACCTATGGAATAGTCAAGGAAAGAGAATGGATGTGAATAATTTTAGGATCTTTGCAAAGAACAAAACAAACACTTATGAATAGGATGGTGAAAACTCGATCCTTTGGGTTGGATATATCTGTGTTCAGTGTTCATGAAGTGGGTTGCTTAGATTATTATTACCTAGTTATTGAGTACTAGCGGATATTCATGATCTTATATTGGTCCTGGTGACTAACACAGGAATCGAAGACGCACATTTCATCATATTTCGGATTCGTCAGCTGGATGAACCTTCATCTCAGTGATTGATATTACGGCTAGGGTATCATTAAAACAACTGATATTCGTGGATAACATTCTGGTGTTCAAAGCGAAGGGAAGTACATGTACATCCAGTTGAGGAGTGAATCCCAAATAGGACTAAATATGCATGAAGCTGGATTCCTCTGCTAATCACCAAGATCAGTGCAGCATGAAGTGCAATAACTGGTTGCCAAGACCTCGGTAGAGCGAGTGAGGTGAGGAAACTTCCTTTCTTTACGTGGTTATACTAATGTGACCAAATAAATATCTATTATCAAAGACATGTATAATCCTATTGGGTTAGCATTTATCTCTCGAGTATACTTCACTGACTTTTGACATAAAAATGGGCATAACATATGGTTTGCAACAGAAATATCGTAGCTGAAGCATCAACAGTCTTGATTGACAAGAAAGTAGAATTCAAGAGAAATGAAACAACATTGTAATGAATAAGAAGGAGAAAATGAGCAGGTCGGAACAACAAGGAAACAATAGTACAATAGTCAAGATTTTGAGTATGGAATATATAAAGTAAGGTGGTACACATTGGTAACTACAATTTAAGAAGAAGATATTCGAAGAAGAGACTCTTGTCAATGAATTTATTTCTAAGTTGTATATATATATATATATATATATATATATATATATATATATATATATATATATATATATATATATATATATATATATATATCCTCATCTACCAGTTTACCAGCTCTTGTGGAGTGAGGTAGACCGGTCGTAGACAGAGTATGCTTTCCACATGTATACGAGAACGCGTTCCAGCTTGGTTTCATAAAGGTGAAAGAAAGTCTGTTAGAAGTTCTATTCTAGAATATTTGATTGATTTTCACCACTCAACAAACCCAAACAATCACTTTGAAATTATTTATCAAATTCACCCAAACCTCCCACGTTTTCTTTGTTTTCAACTCCTTAAAACAGCGGAGGCTTTAGTCATTCATGAAGTAAAACCTGATCTATGTGTACAAAGAGGAGTATGCACAGTCACTGTTTTTACCATGGCCATAACATTTTCCCATTTCCATTAGTTTCCCCTCTCCCTTTGTTAGTTGTGGTGAAATGCGTCTACAATTTCACTTACTTGTAGAGTTGCATCAACCCAGAAGGACTGACTAGTTTCTGAAGAAATTTCAGCTCGAATACGGAAGCCCTATTTGGCATTTCCCAACTCGTGTCTCAAGTGGCACCAACTGGTGAGATCCGACTATTGATACTGCGTCGCAGTCCATTCTGCTCCATAATACAGCTAAGAGACATGACCGTTAAAAGTAGAAGACATGAAGTAGTTATAAGGTTTTGATCACAGGTGTCTCCGTAACATTGCTCGTGTTTGGCGGAGTCGCCCTGGAAGCGATGTTGAGGTCAGGCGAAGGGTCCTAGACAAGACATACAAGTTGACTGGAGAGGTTGGGAACCTTAGTGGACAGAGATGGCCTGAACATACATTGCACATGGCGAGTCACCAACTACCTCTACGTAAAATGCTGGGGGAAGCTGGATTACTTTGACAAGGAGCTCACCGCGACCGGACTAAGGTATGGCACCAGTCGATGAAGTTCATGACTGTTCTTCTGAGACGTATGGGGAGACAATGACTGTCTGGTTAGAGTCTTCGAGATGAGAGAAATCAGTGGTTAGGGACTCTTAGTGACATGGATGAAAGTCAGCCACAGTGGCGCAGATGTATTCACTCTTTGATATCTTCCAAACCTTGAATATTTGCGCTAACCGTTATCTTCAGATTGCTTATTGTCTAACACAACTTTAGCTTCTTTGATGTCACTCTTTTTGTGTCCACCTGTGCTTTACGTACTAGTTTGAAGTGTGACAACTTGAGCCAATGTATTACTTGTGTGCCAGGTTTTACGTTGATTTTCTCACTAAGTTAGTGAGTCCCGACAGATAGCTGCTACCTTGACGTGGTGGTCGGGCTTGCATATCACAATGACCCAACGAGCTATGCTGGTGGAACGCTTGTTCCCTCGAGGTCCTACCATACCAGAAAGGTCTGTTGGATAGTGGTTAGACGAAAAGCAGTTACCATTGTGGTGTAAATTGCTACACTATGATGGGGGTCTGAGGGCGAAGTCGTACTGCTGCTAGCTGGATGGGGTGTGACAGCAGTAAGGTGTTTCCCTTGGATGACCAGCAGTGCCATGCTGATGCTGCCTTCTCAGTGGAAGGGGGGGTTAGAAAAGGTCGGCCCCAAAAAAAACACACTCCACCACGCCCCACGGTCTGCCGGGCCGGCGGTGTTGGTTCACTTGTCGTTTCCTTTCGACCATCCGGCCCCAAAAATACAAAATTCAAAATAATCATACTCAAAAGGCTGGGTGTGACAGGCCTCAAGCAGATGTCCGATGGGCTCTGCGGTCACACAAATCTCTTTCAGGTACCTTAAGAAGAAATAGCCTTCCACGGTGTGGGCAGCCGGGAAGTGTCAACCGCCCTCACAACTCTGTCAGCACCCAAGTTTCTTCTGACTGCTATCCTCCTCCTCCATCATTACCTTCTAATCTTCCTTCACGTCTCTTAATTAATGATGCTGCATCATCTTCAATTTCTCCTACCTCTGCAGCCTTCGACAACGATCTGAGTCCACAGAACAGCATCCCTGGTCTCCTTAAACCACGCTCCAAATTACATATTGGAGCCTTCAATGTCCGCACCCTCCGTCAAATTGGCCAACAGGCTTCGTTGGCAAAGACTCTAGCAACTCGGGCATGGATGTGTGCTGTGTTTGTGAGACACGCATACAGGACCCAAGTGTGGTTATTCACCTGACCTCTCCTGACCAATCTGGTGAATCTGCAAAATTCACCCTTCGAGTTTCTGGAGATTCGATAGCTAGCTCTCGTGGTCTTGCAGGTGTAGGTATAGCATTAAGCACCAGGGCAGAAAACTCACTACTAGACTGGATCCCAGTTGATAGTCGCCTCTGCGCTATGAGGCTGAACGGCACAGTGAGAACTAAAAGGAATAGTGAGACTCGCCGTTGTCTCTTTGTAATCTCTGCTTACGCACCCACTGACTGCAGCTCGGATGAAGTGAAGGACGAGTTCTACCATAAACTGTCTAACCTCCTCTCGAAAGCCAAACGTTCGGACGTAGTGGTTGTTGCAGGTGACCTCAACGCACAGGTGGGTAGACTGAGTGAGGCAGAAAGGCACTTAGGTGGCACTTTCGGAATCCCAGCTGAACGTACAGATAACGGTGATCGCCTATTACAACTATGCTCAGATAACCGCCTATTTTTAGCCAGCACAAATTTCAGACATAAAGAAAGGCACTGTCTGACCTGGCGTCCACCGAGCTCGACTCAGCGATGGACACAGATAGACCACATTGCTATTAGTCATCGCTGGAGAGGATCGGTGGAAGACTGCCGCTCCTTCTGGAGTACGTGTTTGGACAGCGATCATGCGTTGGTCCGAGCACGTATATGCCTGCGTCTCAATGGACGTAGAAAAAATTTGGCAACAAAACCACTACGAGTTCTGCTGGACAACGAAAACACCAAAGCCGTGTTCAGTGAGAAGTTGGCTAGGCAGTTATCGGAACAAAAGACTGTCACTCATCCAGAAGAAGCTTGGTGCCATCTTCAGTCTACTGTAAAAGCAGCACTGGAGACTGTAGCCGACTCCAAAATAATGGCTAAAAAGAGCCAGTGGATATCAGCAGCTTCTTCCAAACTAATGGATGCACGTGAATGCATCCCTGCAGGCTCTGAGTACAATGAAGAGCGAGCGCAACTTAAAAATAGACTGACGAAAAGTCTGCGCAACGATCGTGAACAGTGGTGGGCAGCGAAGGCTAAAGAGATGGAAAAGGCAGCGGCGATCGGTAACAGTAGACAGTTATTTAGACTTATTAAGGAGACTGGGGGGAAATGGTCAACAACAGTTAGTGAGGTTATAGCGGAGAAGGACGGACCTGCGATTCACTCGCAGGGGAGACGACTGGAACGATGGGCAGAACACTTCGAGGAACAGTTTAACTGGCCTCCAGCCACCATTGCGCTGCCCGCTATCCAGTCGGACCCTGAATGGGACATAGAGACAGGTCCCCCAACACTAGAAGAAGTTGAGAAAGCGGTAGGTAGCCTGAAACGAGGAAGGGCAGCAGGACCAGACGGACTACCTGCTGAGGTATACAAGAATGGTGGTAGAGCGCTCTTAGTCAGGTTAACGGAAGTGTTAGCTAGTATATGGGAATCAAATACGATCCACTCTGACTGGTCTAAGTCACTCATTATCTCAGTCTTCAAGAAAGGCCAGAAGTCTTCCTGTGATAACCACAGAGGAATCAGCCTGATGAACGTAGTATCCAAAATCCTAGATTCTATGATTCTCCAACGCCTGATTGGAGCCCGGGAACAGCAAGCCCAAGAAAACCAGGCAGGCTTTAGACCCGACTGCGAGTGTATCGACCGAATATCCACACTGCGCCAGGTCCTGGAACACAGGCACGCCTACAGATGCCCGACACTAGCTGTATTTCTCGACCTGAAGGCGGCGGCATTCGAATCCGTTGATCCAGAAGTCTTATGGCAATGTCTGTCACTGAAAGGCGTGTCTAGTAAGTACATCACCTTATTCAAAGCTCTCTACTCGAACACGTGTGGGCATGTTAGAGCCTATGGCGAGTTGTCCAGGGAGCTATACTCATTGAGTGATGTCCGTAAAGG